AAGTGGCCAAGTTTGGGATTCTGGGAGTTGAAGTCCACAAGTCTTAAGGTGGCCAAGTTTGGGGACCCCTGCCCTAAAGTCTTGGTTTCAGTGAGGCTAGCAATTACATGCCAGTTAGCAATAACAAATAGCTTTTGTTTTTCTGTTGTAAGTGCTGGTCAAAAAAAGCCAGCATGGCAACCACAGTGGTGGAATCAAAGCCCGGCCTCTTTTTAGATGCATCGCATAGGCCCATTACTACCTGAACACGAGCACTGGACATGGGAGGGATCACTCACCTTTCCCAAAGATGTTCTGCGGAAAGAAATTGTGCCCGATAGTAGTATTTGGGGTAGCGACAGTGATCAACCAAGGTGAACTTTGTGCAGAATCCATCCTTCCAGCTAGAGATGGGATTCTGGGCCAATTCTGAAATGCTCACTGGGTCTCTGACCTTGCACTCTCTCCCCAGGCATGGAATCGGCTGGTATCCATGAGACGACATACAATTCCATCATGAAATGTGACATCGACATTCGCAAGGACCTCTATGCCAACAATGTTCTCTCCGGAGGCACCACTATGTATCCTGGCATTGCAGACAGAATGCAAAAGGAAATCACCGCCTTGGCTCCCAGCACAATGAAGATCAAGGCAAGTCTGCTTACTTTGGGGGTCTCCAACTCCTGGGGCGGGGCCAACTACAGGGCAGCGACCGGGGGTAGGATTCAAATTTGTTAACAACCAGTTCTGTGGGCGTGGCTTAGGTGGTGGGCGTGGCTTGGTGGTCATGTGACTGGCTGGGTGTGGCCAACTCAACATCACTCACATCGAGGCACGCATCTCCTCACCTGGCCACTCATGACTGTGGGGATGCTGCAACAGTCATAAGTGTGAAAAACGGTCATAAGTCACTTTTTTCAGTGCCATTGTAACTTTGAATGGTCACTCCACACAAGCAAAGTACCAGCAAAGGAGGGGAAAATAACTCCAGAGATGTTCCAGAGACAGGAAGTAAGCAACACCAGAATGTTTCCTTCCTGCCTCCCTTACAGGATTAGCCCAGTAATTTCTTCTAAGAACCGGTTCTCCCAACTACTAAGAATTACAACCAGTTCTAATGAATAGGTGTGAACCGGTAGAATCCCACCCCATTCAGAACTGGGCTGCACGAGTGGCAGTCAAGCACTCTCAGCTCCATTTGTACAAGCAGCTGGCACTCATGCACAGGTTGCACAGACGGAGCTTCACACGCGCACACGAGGGCTCACTGCTTGAGCAAATGGAGCTATGCACGGGAGAGCATACACCTGCCGCTCACACTGAACCACTTCCTCTTCCCCACCCCTAGCAAAGCTAGAAAGGTTGGGGACCCCTGGTTGAGCCCATCGGCCACCTCTAGGGGTTGTGCAACCTCAGAGAACAGAGATCAGTTCTGTGTACTTGGGGTAACTGCCAGCAGCTGTGGCAAGAGAGAATCCATAAAACTATGGGAGAATTTGGTTGGGAGCCTCCCAGAGTTGGTCACAAGATGGGCAGCTGTATAAATGTTTGAAATTAAATAAACAAGCCAACAAAAATGTCTTGTTCCTGTGCGCAGATGATTGATCCAACTCTCTTGAATTTAGGACCCATTGATGCGGATTTTTAGGATTCTGCACATTTAGGAAAAATCAAATGCAGCATCCTAAACTATAAACGTTGGACAGATATTGCATAATATACATATACCAAGCATTATGTTGTGGGGGTGAGTTTTACGGCTGTTCAAGTTAGAATTGGCTGTTTTTGCTTAATCCTGCCTCTTTCCGATTCCACTGTCAAGTGACCAGTAAATGGATCTCCGTGTTTTCTAGTCTCATGGAAGGAAGCTCTCTCTCCTGCTAACATCTACAAACCAAGCTAGGATTAAGAATTAAGATGGAAGATCAGAATCTAGTTCAAATGTGGTTTCTTTCTTTCTTTCTTTCTTTCTTTCTTTCTTTCTTTCTTTCTTT